TTTCTTGATAAGAGTTGGTTAGAGTTTATGAGAATTGATAATTGAAAAAAGGGGAGATATGACCTCTAATTATGAAGAAAAAAGAGGGTCGAAGAATAAGAAAAGAATCCGAATTTGAATCGAAATAAAACTCGATGGACAACAGTTTTTGCGGATTTTGTTTTTTTTATCATATCTTTTGATCCAGAGGTCCAAATAAGGCATATAATAGGTCGTTGGAAATATATTGAAGTCTACTTTCTAAACCAATTAGAATTAGATTAAAATATTTTGTAGATAAAAAGATATGGCCAAAATAGTAGGACGGTGTCAGTTTTGGATAGAGTTTCATATTTCATTCATATTTTTTTCGTTATAGCTCGGAATTAATATTATAATATCGTTGGAAAGATAATTTCTAGATCTATCCAACCATATAAAATTTGGATAAAGATTATGAGGCACGAAAATAATATCTGACTGTCTTTGAACATCTTTAAATTCGAATAGAATTAGGATTTTAAAAAAGGAAAGTTTTTATTTAACTCAAATTTTTTGATCTTATCTTTTCAAAAAGGATAATTAAGATCTTTTAGAAAATTATAGAAACGTCTAATTAATCCTAATTAGTTTAGGAATAGGATTAGACCTTTGGACCCTCCACATGATCATTGGGCCGTAAGTAAAATCCGGTTTGAGCCCAGTTTAGTATTTTGGTCATAACTTCCTCATTATTCTTCGGAATTGGGCTTATAATATATCGTTGGAAAGGTCTTTTCAAGCCCCATACAACTACACTATTATTGGACCCATAACATAGACCAAACTAAACTAGAATTCACGTTTTTCATAAATAGGGTAAGAAAAGAAATATTTTCAAAAACAGAAAGAAAAGATATTTTAATAAAAACATCCTCATCACTAGACTTTTCACACTTTTGCCTCGTTTGATAATCAAATGACATGAAAGGTATTCATCACTAGGTTTGGTTTTGGGGAGACACAATGGGTGTCTACAGTACCTAATTGCCATCTTATGGGTTCAAAGAACCTCTAGAAGTTGGGAAGTTTGTGGGTCATCGAGTGCATTACTAATGATCACAGGGTGCAGTTCCTGCTCATCTAAAAATACATATTTCAAATGTGAAGGAAGAGGTTGTTTAGGTTTCTTTACCTCCGCAGAGTAAGATTCATGAATTAAATTTTCCACCTTACCATTCTCATCAGGGCTAAGTTGCTCGTTTGATAGAGCAAGTTCAATTTCATCCACCTCTTTGCTTCATATGTCAGCGTGACCTGCATCAAGATCACAACAAAGCACTTCCTCCTAAGGATCTCGAGAGTATAGTGGTAAGTATTCCCTCCAAAGGATAGTGGTAAGTATAGTGGTAATTACTTCCTCAAAAGGATCTCGAAATCACAACAAAGTACTTCCTCCATAAGTCGTTGTAGTATAGTGGTAAGTATTCCCGCTTGTCATGCGGGTGACCCGGTTCGACAGGCAGAAGTCGTATCACCGTCTTTTCCCTGGGGTTTACCTTACGAAAAGGTAGAAGAGTTAGTTTTTTTCCTAAAGCCCTGCAGGGTTAGCATTATTAGTATTTGATATAACAGAATCAAGATTAGCAATTGTTGATGTAACAGGTTCATCATCAGTGGGCATAGGTGGCCCATCATAATGTGAACCACTCCTTAGAGTAATTTCATTGGCATGATCTGTAGGTTGTACTCCTTACGCTGGTAAGGCTCCCTGCTGGCGTGTCTGTAGAGTAGAGGATAACTGTGCAATTTGAGTGTCCATGACTTTATTATGAGCTATAATAGAGTCAATATGTGAATCTCTACTCTCCATGTGCTTTTTGCATGCTTGCCAACATTGCTCTAATTTCTGACATGGCAGGGTCAAAAGATGAAGTAGGAGTTTGTGCTTAGTTTTTCTGGCCAGAGTTGGGATGGTAATATTTCTGCTTTGGTGGTGGTGCTTGTTGTTGTGGTTGTTGTGGAGGTGGAGGATTTTGTACATTGGTACTCCGGTAAGATAAGTATGGATGGTTTCGGAGGCCAGGATTATAGGTGTTGGAGTATGGGTTATTTTGTCTATAGAATTGAAAGGCATTAACTTGCTCCATAGAATTCCTGCAATCTTTCTCCCAATGCCCTAGAATTCCACAATTTTCACAAAAAACATCAATATCATTATTATTAACTGCGGAAACATTAGCTATAGAGGAAGGAATAACAATACTAAGATTATCCAATTTCTGGCAAATAGACGTTAATTGAGCTTTCACAAAGGATACGGAATCAACATTTTGTTTCCCTTTGTTAGCAAAATCCCTAGGATTCCCATATTGAGAATTGTAAATTGCCATATCTTCAATTACATGTCCTGCATAATCAACATTAAGGTTCATAAATCTCCCACTAGCTGCAGAATCTAGAATAGTTCTAGATGCATTTCCAATCCCATTGTAAAAAGCTTGGATCCACGGCCATTGTGCTAAGTTATGGTGGGGACATTCCCTCTGCAGATCCTTGAATCTTTCCCTAGCCTCATGTAGAGATTCATCGAGCTCTTGGGCAAAATTTTGAATCGCACTCCTTAATAAAGCTATTCTCTCGCAGGGTAATATTTGTTATAAAAAATCAAAGCAAGAGTCTCCCAGTTAGTGATACCAAGTGCAGTTCTATTTAAGTCATTAAACCATAATTTAGCTTTTCCACACAAAGAAAAGGGAAAAAGAATCTCCCTGATTTGGTCTTGTGTGACCCCACTTTGCCTAATAATATTGCAATACTGACAAAAATCGGCAATGTGAAGATTTGGGTCTTCACCCTTAGCTCCACTAAACTGCTTCCTTTCAATCATCGTTATGAATTGGGGTTTGATCTCGAATTGTACTCCCTCGAGACCTGGAGCAAGAAAAAGGTGTGTAAATTCCGTTAGGGACGGCTGCGAATAGTCGCTGAGCTTCTTAGGTGGTAATCCTGTCATATCTGATTTTGAATCTGAAGGAACTTCTGAATTGTTAGAATTAGTTGGAGTGTCTTTAGGAATATTTCCAAAACCCGCCAGTATTTGCTTGTAAAAATTCTTTTGCCTATGGAAAGAACGTTCGATCTCTGGATCAAATGGAATGTAATCTAACTTGGAACACCCGGGCATAAACAAAGAACTAAACAACAAATATGAGAATTGCCTCAAAGAACTATCGTTCTCTGAGACAAGGGGGAATAATCTAGACTACCAAAACAATCAGATATAAAATTAAAATCGTCTCCCCAGCAACAGCGCCAAATTTTGATAGGCTAAAGTCGTATAACCCAATCAAAAGTATTACCTAAGTCCTCTAACTAATGTAGATAGGGAAGTAGGGTCAAATCCACAGGGAAACAAGTCTTTATATTCCTAATTGGTTATTATAATCTAAACTATCGAGTAACCAAAATTGTTTTTATTAAAAGGGAATTAAACTACAAAGATTAAGAATAGGGAGAAATCAATAATAAGAAAACCTAGGGTCACGGGTTCACCAATAATTAATAATCCAAGATAAAACATAACAATCAATAATTAACATTGCACATATAACATGATTAACAGGCTCTTGCAATTTATTAACCAACATAGATCTAAGTTATTAACAAGCTCTCACAACAGGCTCTCGCAATTTATTAATTAACAGACTCTCGCAATTTACTAGCTCTAAGTTCCTATTGAAAATAGCCTTTAATATCAAATTAACATCTACTCAATTCATCAATTCAATATTGCTATACTTTTACAATCAAATCACATCTGCTCGATTCATAATCTAATTGTAAAGAATTAAAACAATGCAATAAGAAATTATCATGCAACATCAATAATCAACAATAACAAATTATCCCTTTATATTAATTAGGAAAAATTGCTCCCATTAATCTGAACTTTGCCTCGTCCGCCAAAATTAATCCCAACTTTCGTTTATTATCTATCACTCCCAACTTTAGGGGGTATTAATTTTTGTTGCACCCAACAGGTCATCCAACCTGATGTAGCAGGTTACCTAGACACGTGTCAGCGTATGATTGATTTAATTTTTTTTTTAAAAAAACCCCACAAACCACCCCATGCCCAGCTGCTGCCACCACATCCCCACCCCCAACCCGCTAGAAAACCAGCCCCATTCCTGAAAACCCCTCCCCTGCTGCCGGAAACCGCCGCTGAGCCTTCCCCCTCCCTCGAAACCCACCCATTCCCTTCCCCTACCCCCGAAAACCCCTTCCCTTCCCCAAATCTTGAAATTAGCCACCGCCCAGCCACCGCTAATGAAATTAGCCACGATCGGCCGAATCGGCCGATTTTGGGTTAAACCCAACCATCCAGCCTGAAACTCGGCCGATTTCGACCATTTTGGTGGTCGTATTCACGGAGAAATAGGGGTTGCGGCGTTTTTCTGGTGGTCGTTTCAGCGGCCAATTTTAAAGGGAAAGGGGAGGGTGGTCGGGCGTTGCCGACACTAGGAGAGGGGAAGCATGACTGGGCGGCGGCCGACGCTCTAGGGGAAGGGGGTCTGGGCGGTGGTCGGTGCTCCGGGGAAGGTGTTGGCTGGCTAGCTGGCTGTGGGTGGGTGGGTGCGGGATGTGTTGGTTGTTTTTTTTTTTTTTTTATAAAAAAAAATCTTTAAATTTTTTTTTAATCTTTAAATTTTTTTTAACCAATTAGGTTGCGACACGTGTGCAACTAATCACAAGTCAGCAAAATTGACCTCTTCAACCGGTTGCAAGTCATTTGGGTGCAATAGAAATTAATACCCCCTAAAGTTGGGCGTGATAGATAATAATCGAAAGTTCGGATTAATTTGGGCGGACGAGGCAAAGTTCAGATTAATGGGAGCAATTTTTCCTATTAATTATGGATCTCCCAAAACCCTAGAATTAAACTACTCATACATAATTAAATCTAAATTAAACAAAGCAATAAAAGAAGACATGATTAAGATTAAAGTAAGAAAATAAACAATAAAGAGAGAAGAAAGAATACCGAAAGAAGGAAAATTGGAATTGCCCTCAAAAGGTAGAATCTTGAGTTTAAGAACAAAAACCAACTAAAAAGCTCTCTAGAGTTTGAGTATGAGAGAAAGAATAATGAAAAACATAACTAAGAAAGATTACAAAAAGTATTAAAAACTAAACTCGAAGATTAGCCAAAACGAAACTCCTAAACCGCCTACAAATATGCGCGCCCGATCGGGTTAAGGTCCGCCCGATCGGGCCCATCTTTTTTCTTCACTTCTGCTTTTGGGCAGCCGCCCGATTGAGCTAATGGTTGCCCGATCGGGCCCGGCTTGCCTTGGCCGTGGCTTGAGCTTCACTTCATCAATTATTTGGGCTCCAAAATCAAGGCCCAACACTTCACTTCTTGGTGCATTGCTTGGACCAATTCCACGAACCGAGCCCTTAATCACCGATACGATTGGTCTTGGGCTATGATCAACGGTCATGATGTGCTTCAAGCTCCAATATCTCGTAGTGGCCGGAAAAACCATAGAAAATTCTGACAAATCTGGGAAAATCCTACAAAACAAATGCCAACTCTACAAAACACTAGAAACTGCACATTAGTACCAAAAATAGCTTCGAAGAGCTTAAATATGCATGTAAATGACCGTGGAACGGGGGATAAAATAACGTATAAAACATGAATATTGCCCTAGCCCAGGTGCAGGACATATTTTATACCTAAGAGTTCTTTCTTAAGTTGAGGTATTAATCCCTTATATAAGGAAGACTTTATTCTCTTCAACTTCTGTTATGGGAGAGCCATAAGCACATTCTACCGTTCCTTAAGGAGCCTGCGTAACCCGAAGGCACAATAAGACACTGAAATTGGCCATGGCTATGATAACATTTGTCACACCCCCAGAGTCTACTAGACATTGTCCTCTCTGAGCCCTAGCCCTCAAGGATTTGCTTCGATGCGGGATAAAAGTCCTCAAAGCTTCTAGGGTTATTTCGTGTATGTCTCGTCAAACGGGTTTAAGGCCATATGTTGATACATAATTAGGGTTTAAGGATGACTCGATCACCGCACACGAGAAATACACACACAATTTTTAAAGTCGCGCGTGAGATCCATAATTGCGCTCGGTAGGTGGACGTGAGTTTGAGAGTCGCACACGACACCTGCCTAATTTTTATGGGATTTTTTATGTTTATTTTATAATTTCTATTATCTTTTCCACACGACCTTCGAAGTTGCACTTGAGACCCAGGACAACTTTGAAAGTTGCGCATGGAGGCAACACGCAACTTTCACAAAGTCACGCATGGAAATCTGGCAATGAAATGTTTACTTGACCTATGGGCCTTATTTTAACGCATTTGGTCCATTATTAACCAGGTCCATCACAAAAGCTTTTATATGTTAAAGATGATATTGGGTAAGACCGAAATACAATAAATCTATTTATTAACTATTACTAAAATAGAAGATGCTAACATTACCACTGTCCACGTGTCGCTCTCTTAATAAAAATTCTCCCGCCTAAATGCAATGATGATATCATTTTTTTCCCTTTTTTTAGAGCTATCATATTTAACATTTTTGAAATTTAAATATTAGAAGCTTCTACCTTACAACTAAAACCTATCAATTTATCGTAGTAAATTGAAACAATTTTAAATAACACACTAATAAATTATCTTCTACATTGAACTATGAATTAGACGACGTTGAACAAATATCAATACTATATACTAAAGTAATAACCAGGAATATTCTAGAAGTACATGTGTCACGTCTACATTAAAAAAATTTCCGCCAAAATTTTTTTATTATTTTTTTTCCTTAAAAAATAAGATAATTGATGAAAAAAGAGAATATACAGCCTACAAAATAGAACAATAAATTTAAATAAATAAAATTTTAAATATATACACAATGTATATACTTTTTTTGAACGGATATATACACTGTGTATAAACAAATACAAACATATAGTAATATTAAAAATTCTTAAATGAACCTGGTCCATTATTGTGGACCAAGTAGCGTAAGGAATAGAATGGCTTAATCGTTTTGGAAATTCAAACAAGCTACAGAATTATTTCATCACCTTTTGCTTTCTCTCTCTTCACATGAACTTCCAACTTCCAAGCTCCATCTTCTCTCTTTAAAGGTCCATTTTCTCTCTCTCTTCGAAGCTCACCCATATGAGTTTTTCTCTCTCTACATTTCAAGACCTCTTAGCCTCTTCTTCAATGGTGATAACCAGAGGTGGTGGAACATTATAGAGGAAGAGGGCCTTCGTTCTTCGGTAAATCCCGACAATGGACATAACGTAACTACGGTAAATTTCTTATTTGAGTTGATTATTGAACTTTTTAAGCTTATTAGGTTTATGCTCTTCTTGAATTGAAGCTCTTTTGGGATTTTTGCTTGAATTTTATGTAGTATTAACGATCTAGGGTTTCAATTTGATCAATTCATGTTGATTTATACTTAAATTGAATCTCATTGTTTTATATATATACATTAGCTATTTAATTAGGGTTTTTGATTTCGCGTAATTATTGTTGAAAGTGAGAATTTGGATGATAACAGGAAGGGTCACTGTATGTTTTTTTTTTCAATTTTTTGAAATATGGTCAATTATTAGTTGAAGTAGATAATAGGGTAACTATGATTTAGAAGGGGTCACTATATTTTGGAAAGTGGTGTTTAGCTTAATTATAGTCAGGTTGATCATTGTGTGGATAAGAGAATCACTATATCATTACTGTTAGACCTTGGACGTACATCTGATAAAGAGATTGATAGAGTAAATTCTGATTGTGAGAATCATGTACTAGGCTCAACTAAAGAGGGAGAGTGTAGAGGTGTTTGCCTGTAGTCACCACTATAGGTAATTATTTTGCCACCAGTTCTGTTGACACATTCTAATATCAATTAAAATTACTGCTGGAGGATAACAGATGCAACAAGATCACCCAAGCATCATCGTAAAAAAAAGAAGTGAACATATACCTTTTGTGATCATTGAACTAGCGACTTTAATTTTCACTTTTCGTTTGGATACAACAAATATGTGGGCATAATAAATTGACAAGTGACAATAGTGTTTGTTGGGTTGCTTTAATTTGTTTAACTTTTACCTAGTTTGATTTTAGTAGTTGTATTTTCTTTAATGTTTATACTTGTATGAGCTGAGGTTTGTTAATGTTATATCTTGTTCTTGTGGAAATTAGTAAAAATTCAATTATAAAGCCTATTAGCTTAATTGGTAAAGCTGTGTGCAAGTGCACAATGATGTAGGTTCGAATCCTACATAGGCTATGAAAAGATAACTAACCATATGTTGATAAAAGTTAACTATTAAATTGTACAGGATAACTTTGTTTATGAAGGGATCACTATATTTAAAAAAAAAAAAAGAAAAAAAAGAATGGTTACTATGTATATATAATATATTAGGGTCACTATATGTATCAATATGGGTGATTATATTATAACAATGGTGACTATATACAATTATACAATAGACAATATTTGATGGGTTATTAAATGTAAATTAAGTCATTATGTGTAAAAATTCAATAACTATAAAAAAGATGACTATATCTAACTATGGGTTATTATATTTAAGATAAGAGTCACTATGTGTAAAAATACAACAACTACAAAAAAGATGACTATATCTAACTGTTATTATGCGTGTAATTGTGTAAGTATGGGTGATTATATATATATATAGGAGTCAATATGTGTAAAGTATGAGTATTTGTAAATAAGGACCACTATATGTTAACAAAAGGTCGTAATATATTTATAGAGGTCGTAATATGTGGGGAAAAAATATCTTTGAAAAAGGGATAACTATTTGGTAAAAAGGGTCATCATTATATATTTATATGTCTATATGTTAGCCTATGTAGGATTTGAACCTACATACCCTGTGATAGTTCACACTTCATAGTGCTCGGCCAATTGAGCTAATAGGCTTTGCATAGTTTTATATGATTTTCCAAATCCTATGATACTCTAGTATAAAGGCATACATGTCTTTGAATAAAATGCTCATGTGCCCTGGTTGTAACCAAACATACATAAAAACATAGATAACTAATAACCTGATAAGGATCAACCAATCAAAGCCAACCTTAGAAAGACATAAACAACAGCAAAGAGTTTTGCAAGGTGATCAGTATTTGGACAAAGTGACCTTTATTAGCTTAGAGTCACCTTTACTAAGTACTTAATACATTGTTGTTAGCTAGCCTCCTCCCAGAGTCCCAATACCTCCATTTCACAGACTTTCCATTTGTCTTGACATGTTCTAATAATGTCACATTCAATAATTTAATTGATTTGAAAGTCTTAATCTATTACTCTGCAATTTCAAGTTGTTTTCCTTTAATTTGAATTTTCATGCTTCAGATTTAAGGAATAAATTTAGAAAAAAAAAAAAAAAAACAAAAACAAGACTGGAATACATCTTCTTAATTTTACTTAAAACAACAAGCACAATTAATGAATTAGAAAAGCAAAAGAAATCATATACTACTCACAACGTAATTTATGTAATTTTCCAGTCTTTTGAAGCTATGAAAAATTACCACATCTCTCACCATGATCATAGTTTCAATACTTTAAACCTCAAATTATACACAAACGAAACCAAAATTGATGAATAAAATTCCAACTGATTAACGTTTTAGAATAATTAAAAGCCCTAAGTAGAGAAAACATAATGATTTGGGAAGAATTAAATCGAATTTAAAACATAATCAATTTTTATTCAGGATAAATAATCGAATATTTGACAGAAAATCAAAAAAAAAAATGATACCTTCATATTTGCGTTTGATTCTGATTCAAAAACTGGTTTGTTGAGATCAATTGCAGCGAAATTTCGTTCTTCAATTAATGAATTTGCATCCTGATTTTGTCGATGTTGTTCGTAGAGGAGAGAGAAACTAATTGGGGCTTTGTCTTTAACTAATGAAGGAATATTGGGTTATAGAAGGGATTTTGTTGAATTGGGCTGGCAGGTATGCGTGGGGGTATTTTCTTCACACAACAGCACGTGAGACCATAAGGTCCACAATAAATTTATTGTGGACCAGGTCCACCCAAGAACTTTTGTAATAATATATAAATATTTCTTGATAAATAATACTTCCTCCGTTCTTTTATTATTGCACCACTTGTCATTTTAGGAAATTTTACAAATATTGCACCATTTCCTCTTTAGGAAAAAAAATTATTTGTGTTCACACTACAAATTGCTCTATCTAGCCGCCTGTGTTGATGCAATAACCGGTGCGCAGACACTCTAGATAGGACTAGGCGGATTAGTTCCCCAACATACCCTTGTTTTTTCACACTTACTTTTTAATTTATCAATATGTCACATGGGCAATTTTGTATTTTTACCTTTCTCTCTCTTACTTTTTTCCACTACCAAAATATTTGTATCCAACCCCTATGGTGCAATAATAAAAAAACGGAGGAAGTATATAAATATAATTTTTTTTCTTGTGAATATCCGAGCGACGCTCGGGAAAAGAACTAATTATATCATAATTTTGATGAAAATAAAAGATTTAAAATTACAAAATGTATGCAATTCTTATTTATATTCATGTATAATAGCGATTTGTTTTTCAAATGTACAAATTAAAAATAGGTTTTATATAAACCGTTCATCGCACGGGCTCTAACTAATACTAGTATAAAGTTGTAAGTGAACACAAAAGGGCAAAAGGTTGTATATTACCAAGGAGACTATTACACTAGCTTTTGTAGTAGCGATTTTAATCAAATTCTGCCAAGCTTGCTAGTGGCCGAAAGAGTGGAATGTGGCCACGCAGACTATTTGACAGCCGTTACGAGTAATCAATAAGATAGCATAAAGACAAGCCATTGCTTCAACATGTAGAGCAGGGTTTACCAAAATACACCTACCTTGCCCTGAATCAGCTCATTAGAAGAGGAAGCCGCAGCCATCCTTTTCATGAAAGCATTGTATGTTTGCACTATAATTTTTAAGGCTTGTTCAATCTTTCATCCCACTTGGAAATAGTACTGACCAAACAGCCACAAAACAGCAGATGTACATACCAATTGTGTTGGAGACCATTAGAATACTTGGGCAAAAGTATAATTTCAAGCTACAAATTGAACAGAGGGGAAAAAGAATTACTTCTTTCAATGGACAGCTATCAAGATGTTATCAGCTTCACATTGTTCAGTATTTTGTTTTCAAAAGAATACATATTAAACGAATATATCATACATATACACGGAAGTATAACAACAAAAAAGAAAACCTCCCAAAAAGCCTAGTTCACCCTGTCACCATTCACCAACATCTTCGAGCAAGTTAAAGTACGATTTCTTCTCTCTAGCATAAGGATCTACATTACAGGCGTTTCCTGAATTATGCATTCTTGTTCCAGTACTCTTCTAGATCCAAGGAATCCCTACAACACAACCTTACAAAAGGCAAAGGCACCTGAAACAACATAACTCCATGATAATGCCCACGTAAACTCTTCAAGGTTTCCAGGGTGCGGGAGGAGGAGGAGGATTAGGGAACAAAGGAGGTACTGCAGAGAACATAGTGTTTTTGTCGATTCCAACACTCTTCTCACCAGAAAGGGCAACAAGAGCAGCAACTAAACCTGCATTTCCTGCAAGCGTAGGCTCCGTGTAATTGTAATTTGTGCGGACATCACGGAACCCATCACGGCTGTCAGGGCCTGCAACCATGGCTCCTACTATTGTGTTTGGGTTTGCCTTCTTAGTGTCTCTCCACTTCCAACCACCTTTGCAGCTGTACTTAACTTTGTTCTTTGGTATAGATGCACCTCTATGGTGCACGTGCTTTGGATAGTGGTTACCAAAGCCAACCAGATAGCTCATTTTCCGAGGATTTTTGCCAAGAATGTAATCAATCTGCGAAAATTGAATGTAAAAAAATAAGGGAAATTGAAGTTTCATCCCTCTGTAGCAGTTCTTGTATGTATCAGAGGATTCAACACAATGAAAAGAAAACAAGCAAGTACCTGTGTCTTGGCAAATGTACGCAAGACATCTGTTGAGTAGAAATTAGGACCACATGTCCAACCAGGTGTATCAGAAGCTTCAAGATAATCACTGTAAAGGGTAGCCAAGAATGCAGCATTTACTACATACTGCAGAGGCTGAGGTCTTCCATGTGTTAATTCAATCAAACCCCCTACAAGATTTGAGCAAGAACATCAGACTTAATATACATGACAAACAAAATGCAAGGAACAACTTGAAATTTCAAATTCAGAGAAAGACGGTATACCTTTTGTTCTATTAAAGCTATTGAAATATGGTAAATAGGAGCACATAATTATGTTAGTCTGATTGTGGAATGCCGAGAGTATTTCTTCATAAGGATAACCAGGGCTCAAGAACAATCTTAAACGACTAAGAAGCACCTGAAAAAGAAAAATTGCTACTTTGTGAGATACATACTCTGCAACAGCCATATGATTCATTCCTAACATGACTTTTTCTTACGTAAAATATAAATCTTGATTAATCAACCAAAACAGGAATCATATGAATAGTTTATCAATGAAATGATTTTGGCCCAATGTAAGGCAACAAATAATAAAAACAAGTAGCTCATAAGCCAGTATATACAAAACAGTCAGTGGCTCATACTTTGGCAATTATATTTTTTCAGAACAAGATATCTCCAAGACCAGGATAACCGCTTTGAAGTACTCAAATTTACAAAAGAGTAAGACTAAAGGCATTCATACATGCAACTTGGAGTCAAAGTTAAATGTAATGCAATCAAAGGTGATAAATTATGGTTGCACACAGGCTGTACTTGACAACCATATTTTTGGCCACTTCGCCTGAGGTTAACAAAAGTAATTTTTGAACTATCACAATTGGATTGATACGTTAAATAGTGCATCTTGGACTCCCTGAATGGAAATCTGAATAATGAATGTGAGAAGTGGTGAGTTGGCACCTAAAGTATCACTAAATGGCTATATGTTTGATCGAATTGGAGTAATACCATCTTAATGCGTAAGGTAATCTGTTATAGTGTTAGAATAAACTGAAAAATAAACCAAAGAACTCAGCTCCCATTAATATCATTAAACCTATATAGCTTCAGTTTGCAGCAGTATATCACAAAAAGAATACAAGAAACAATCTGTTGAACTTACTTGTGCTCCAGCAAGCTTATTGTCCCAGCTTAGCACACCATAGTCTGGGCCTCCCCAGAACGCACCAGCATGCTTGGCCATTTTAGGATGAGTTGCAATGGTAAGATAAGAATTATTTCCAGTGGCATAATATAACCATGCTCCACCCCATACAAATTCATCCCAGTACATGGTAGAATTGTAGAAAGTAGCAGCCTCATTGCCTTCACTATATCTACCTCTTTGGTCTCTTGCAAACTTGTATAGTGTTTTAGCACCATGCACAAGTTTCTGAGAGTATGCCTTATTATCCTTGAAAACAATAGAAGCTGAAGCCAAAGCAGCAGCCATCTCAGCAGCAAGGTCTGAGCAACTACTACACGTTGTCACTGGTCGTGGATAATCAATGTCCTCTGGACGCACCCAGCAGTAATGATCATTAGGAGTTGTGCTCCCACCAGAGGTATCACCTGACCCAACCTGTCATAATATATTAGCATGACTTAATTTCGTATTTCACACTCTACTATGAACAGGAGACCTTGATTCCAGTATAAGAAAAATAGTAAAGGCATATCAAAATGGCAAACTAAAAATAAGTAACATATAGACATAACTCTACCTGTGACACAAGCATACTGATTGAATCAGCTGATGAATTAAAGGTCTTGAGAAAGTAATCAGTCCCCCACTTAATGATCTCCTTGACATGATTGAGCTCTCCTGCAGCCTCATACTTGGCGCTATATTCGATCACACTCCAACTCAACATGGTCATAGCGAAAGATTTAGGGAAGTGGAACTTAATGGCATCCCCAGCATCATAGAAACCACCCTTAAGGTCCTTGAAAGTGCTGCCGCTATCACCCTTCCCATCATTCAAACATGAATTACCCCTCCACGAAACATTGTTGTGCTTCGGCAATTTCCCAGCTGAAATACAAACCACAAAATCAATGTCATCAGAATATTCCTTTAAAAACATCAACAAAAATCGGATTTTGATCCGATGATCACAACAACAAAAGGATCTTCAATTCCCCATCAAAGACTATCATATTTCAAAGGATCTACAATAGATCACTCAAAATTAGCCATTATTTAACCCAATTGCAAAAAAAATAAAATAAAATACATAAAAAATTAAGTAACTATTGATCAATCCTTTATAAAAATACTTCATCAAACTCAATTCCCTCGTATTCCCTACTAATCAATCCCTACAATTAATCAATCAATCAATCAAAGCCTTAATCCCATAAGTGGGGTCGGCTACATGAACCAAAAATAATTATTTCATATAGTCATCCACATAAATCTAATCGAAATCACTACAATACCCAATAATCTATCCTAATCAAAATCATAAATTCTCTCTCCTCCCATATAGATCATGCTAAAATCCCACATTAGAACAAGAATATTACTCATCATCCAGCTAAAATCCCATACCAAATCAGGAAAGATAAACCAATCAATCAAATCAAAATCTAATAAAAAACAAAACCAACCAATCCAAATCCCAAATTAGAATCCAAAAACAAAAAGGGTAAGAATCATACATCGTTGGGCATTGAAGAACATAAGACCCTTATGAAGAGCTTGAGTATAATTATCAGGAGGAGGAGCAGCATGATGACGTCGAGGAGCAAGCTTAACAATAAGAGCAATGAATCCAGCAAGTAAACCAGCAGCTAAGATAGTACCAACAGTCCAAACAAAGATCTTACGACTAACAATAATACACCCAAGATCCACATACTTTTTCTTCTTCTTTTGCTCAGTTGGACCCAACAACCAACTTTGCTGTGTTTCATCTAATTGCCGTGATGATAACGCACCTTTGTCGTAGTCTTGCAAGTTCCGGCTTCGATC